GATTTGCAACTTCTAGGTAGGACACCATTCTAATTGACCAGATCTCATAATTCTCACCATTGAAAATTGGTAGTGCAACAACTGGAAAAGAGGTTTCAGATTGCATTTTTGATTTTGGTGCAGGCCCTCAATCTTACACATAGTCCCTCGAAAAAACATGTTTTGATACCAATTGTAAGAATAAGAACAATGATTCAATTGGATTGAAGCACACAACTTTATTGATTCTAACATTCTTTAAATACAAAAGAAATCATAACTGAAAATTGCTAAAAATTATTTCTGAAATAAAACTGAAACAGAACAATGAAAACTCATAATTTCCTTATTAGTAACAACTCTTAATTATAGAAAATCAACAATTATAACTGATAAACTTTTATGGTAGATGCTGATGCATATTCTCAGCATTGTTTGACAAAGCTTATTTCATTTAAGTCATTTCTTGCTAACACAAGATCATCTACGTAGATTAGAATCGTAGTAAAACCAATTATAGTTGACTTTGTGAACAAAGAATAGTCTACTTAAGATTGTAGGTAATCATACGAAATTAGGGTGCTAGTGAGCTTTTCATTCCATTATCTGTTGGCCTGCTTTAATCCATATAATAATTTGCATACCAAAATTTTGTCAAAAAGTGTAGGTTAGGGTGGAGGATCCAAGTATACTTTTTCATGTAGATCATTGTGTAGAAAGGTTGTGTTCACGTCTAAGTGATGTAAATATCATTCTTTTGCTACAAGAGATAAAAGAATTCTTATTGTCATCATTTTAACAACTGGCTGAAGGTTTCCATGTAACCAATTTCTTCAGTTTGAGCAAAACTTTTTGCTACAGGTTTGTGTTTGATTTTGAACACCAACTTGCTATAAAGATGTTAATATCTATGTTCTGGTTTTTTTGAAGTGCTTCCAACTCAGCTTGTATAGCTTTCTGGGCATTCATTTGTCATGCCTTCCTTATAAGATTTTGGTTCTATAATTGTTGACAAGGCTATAGAATAAGTTTTGTGAGAGTTTGAAAACTTTATATGTCAAATTAGGTGATAAAGGATGCTTGACTTTCTTTGAAAGTTCATTGTCATTTGCCATAGATAACAAGCAGTGATAATCCTTTAAATAGGATTGAGGATTCCTTAGTCTACTGGATCTCTTGACTTGAGAAACATTTTGATTATGGTGATCTTTGTTGATGTGGGTTGAATAGAAACTGCATCATCAATATTTTGAATTTTTACTTCAACTTCTCCTTAAAGAGGTTCTTCATAAAGATCATCAAAAGTTGTAGGCAAAATTCTACATATGTTAGATTTTGTTTCTGCATCCTTGGAAGTTTCAAAAAAAGGAAATATGTGTTCATAAAATGACACATTCCTTGAAATATACATATTTCTTGTTTGTAAGTTGATAACGATATATAACCCTTAACACCAACCTTGTACTCCAAGTAAAACTCTTTTTTGAGCTCTTACATAAGCTTCTTTCTATGATTGCTCAAAGTGGATGCAAAGGTTAAACTGTTAAGATTTCTTTGATGTAATTTCTATTACTTGTTATTCACCATTCTGACTTGAATTCCACGGTTTTCACATCTATTACAGTTCTCATGCAATAAAAACATTAGAGAGTACTAACCTGGATCTATTAGTATGATCTCCCTTTTGTTGTTCTTGATCTCTTAAGATCTTTTCCAACTCTTCTTTCCTTTTTTAGTTTCCTTCTAATAGTTGAGAGAAAATTTCTCTTTAGTCTTTTTTAACTACCATAAGATATTAAAATTGAGAGAGTGACTACAATCCTTATTTTGGTGACTACTCTTTTAATTATGCCAAAGAGAAGGGAGAGTTTTCTTGTAATTGTATTTACAATTATACTCCCACCAATTCTATATTTTATAATTAGCATTCATTGTATTTAATTAGAGTTGGACTATAAGTTACATAAACCAGTAAATGTATTATTAAAATAATTTAACATAAACAACTTAGCACTTAGATTTTTTTTAATTCAGTAGATCACCAAATAAAATTTTACAAGGTATTTTGTTATTAAGGAAATGAGTAGGCAATCTATTCATCAAATAAAATGCATGCCTTACAACAAAATTTCAAAATGTTTTAGGTAGATTAGATTGGAAAATAAGTGCCCTGGTAACTAATAACATGTATTGATGTTTTCTCTGTACAATCCTGTTCTGTGGGAGTGTTTCTACACATGTCATTTGGTGAATGATTATTTTTTTACAATACAATTCTTCTTGATTAAACTTTGGATCGTTATCAATTCTAATGCACTTTATTTTTACATCAAATTGAGTTCCAACCATAGCAATAAAGGACTGCACTAAATTTCTAATTTCTGATTTCTGTTTCATAAGAAATAACCATGTGTTTAGACTTATCATCAACTACCGTAAAAAACTTTTGATGGCCTTGTATCGATGGTAAACTAAATGACCCCATTATATCCATGTGTTGTAGATAAAAAATACAAGAAAACTTAGTATAACTATCTAGAAAAGGCGTTGTACAGAATCTTTGGCTCTTCCATATGTATCCCTAATTGTCTTTCTTCTGAACTAACAATGAAAATACTTTGTTTATGGTGGGAAGAGGTTGCATGAGCATGATTTGAGATCTTACATCAAAGTAACATTTGTTTAGTCTCTTCAAGAATCTAATGACATAATCATTTTCTCTATATCCCTTTTTAGTTTCTAGAAGACTGCACGTGCAAGGTGTCTGACACTTACAAATTGGTATGGGCCTGAAATTTTCAAGTGAGTGAAATACGCAGTAATTGAGAGATTGCCTTGCTTATATGAATATATTTATTCTTGTAACTTAAAGCTTCAAAAAATATCTCCTTCATAATACCTTTCTTTTAGATCACTCCAAACATCCAGTGCAGTTTCCCTCCAAAGAACACTCTGAATAATGGAAGGATCAAGAGATTGATTTATCCAAGATAGTGCCGTTGTGTTACATCTATCCCACGCTCCATATATGGGATCACTAGAATGAGGTTTCGGTAGAGTTTCATCGACAAATTGATATTTGTTCTTTGATTTCAAAGACATTATCATAGCTCTTGACCATGAATGGTAATTCCCTCCTGTAGGTGGAGCTGAAACAAGAATTGCACCTTGATTTTTACTCACGTGCATGTAATAGGGGCTCAATGGATCCATTCCAGAATTTGCCATGTCAAAATTTGATTAAGAAACAGCAAAATAACTTTCTTTTACAGCAACAAAAATAGAGATTAGAATCAAATTGAAGAATTAATGTATTTTTTCTAGGAAAATAACTTTTGAAAAATAATAATAACAGGGCGCAGTAGAGCTCTTAGCTGCGAAGCTCTGATACCATAAAATGGTAACAACATTCTTTGATGAAGAACCTTTGAAGAATCTGAGTGTTGTATTGCAGAAAAATAAAGCTGGTGTATAGAGTAAAGAATATTTAGATACAAGTAGTTGACTGAAAATTACTAACTTAAGTAACAAACTATTCTAAAGTTAGAAACTAACTATTACTTGATTTATTTGATAACAAGATCGACTATTACAATAACATATTTATGTCAATGAAAGCATGCCTTGGATATTATTTCTGAGACAAGTTTGCTGGCAACTAAGCCTGCAACTTCTCCTCTTGAGCAAAATTCACAGTTTGACTCTTGCAGTTAGAGATAAATTTGAGGATCCTGAAAAATATCTACAACTTGTTGGGAGATTGATGTACTTGATCTTAGTTGCTATGTTTACACTTTGGTTTAATTCATGCAAAGTCCTTTGCAAGTGCATTGGGAAGTTGCAATGAGAGTGGTTCATTATCTGAAAGGCATCTCAGGACAGGGAATTTTCTGCAGTCTAATAATGACTTGCAGTTCTATGCCTATTGCGATTCATATTGGGCTAATTGTCCTCTCACATAACATTCTTTGACTGGATATTTTGTATTATTTGACATATCTCCTATTTCATAGAAGACAAAAAACCAAGTAATGTCTCTTATTCATTTGCCAAGGCTGAATATCGCTCAATGACAAGCATAACATGGGAGTTGAAGTGACTTACAGTTGTCTTGCAATATTTAAAAGTATTGCATTCTCAACCAAATGAGATTGTTTTGAGATAGTCAAGCCACTATTCACATAGCTGTCAATCCAATTTTCTAGGAACGAATAAAGCATGAGATGAATTGTCATTTTGTTCATGATGAAATACAGGTTGATAATCTTAGAACAATCCAAGTTCAAACTTATAACTAGTCTGCTGATATTTTAACCAAATCACTTGGGAAGCAACAATTTTAGTTTCTACTCAACAAATTGGGCATTTGTGATCTTCATGCTACAACTTGAGGAAGAGTATTAGACAGAATCAATCAATCAACAAGCAACAAATCTTGTACGTATCCTTACAATTACCTTTGTACTTAGTATTTGTAAATTAGGATATATTTTTGCCACTATCCAGAGATATTGGCAGATCTGTAGGCAGTATTATGGGGAGCTGATACCAAATTTTGTGTATAAATATTTGCCTCTGATTATTGTGAATAACACACATTTTCAGATCATATTCCTTTAGAAGCCTTGTACTCTATCAACTTCTTCTTATCTTAAAGAGGAATTCTATATCTTCTAAGGAGTAATACACAAATTTACTCAAATCATAGTTTGTGACACCAAGTAAATTTTTGTGGTTGGATTGATTTTATAGTATCTTGTAATAAAACTTAAGGCATGTAGCTGATTATTCTTAACACATAAAAAAACATAAAATTAAAATGATAACCTGTATCCTAAAAATCTTATTAAAGTATATTCATTGTGATTTTTAATTATTTTTTTTTTGTTCTGTACTTAAGACACTAATTAGCAAAACTCAAAAAAAATTATATTTCGTTGAGCCTATTTTTATTTGACCTCTATATCCTGTAATAATATTGTAAACGTTTTGCTATTTGTAGACTAAGTTCCAATCTTTCTTATTCTATTTTAGTTCTCACTCAACAACTACAATAAATGATACAATTTCAATGATTCCGCTCACCCCACTTCTAAACACATCACTAATAAATGCAAAGGATTATCATTTCATTTCTTGCCAGTTACCCAAAAAGAAAATTCCATGTTTTACCACTGATATTTACTACTTTCAACAAGAAGATGCCCATATATGTTCCAGACTACTTGCAAATTCCTTCTCTCTGCCGAATAGTACAGTGCCATGGTCTGCATTTGGAATGACGTTGATTTGAGCATTTGGAGCCTTCAACTTGAAGTTACTGCAGCACTTCATTGGGACAACTTGATCTTTATCACCTTGAATAACAGTTATTTTGACCCCAACTCTGGTCAAAATTGACAAGTAACTATCCACAAATTTTGCTCCCCCACATATCACATTATGCATGGAACTCCAAGCTGAATGATGGGTGTGCCTAGTCAAGTCTATGGTCAAGAAATGAAGATTCCTGGAAAAGGTGACGAAAAGCATGCATATCATCTATGTGTCCTAAGCAATATAAGTAAAAAACTAAAACTCCTGTGGTATATCTTCTATATTACAATCTATTAATAAATATTATTGTAAATACATTCTCTAGTATACTTTTTCTAATATACTCACTTATTGGTTAAAATTTATTAAAAATTATAAAAGAATGAGTGAGAATTGTTAAATTAAAAGTAAACACACATAATTTTTGTGATTTCAAATAAATTTTAACAAATATAAAAGTGTGTCTGAGAGAATGTACTGCTAACAGTTCTTAATATTTTATTACCTCTTGCAAGTAATGAATTGTAGAATGCTCTCCCATATCCTGTGATTTCGGCAATAGACTAGGCAAACGGTTCGACCCAAGTGCTCATACCATGACATAAATGAAGAACCAAATGACAATGGGGACCACAATTTCTTTCCAGCAAGCTTTGATAGTGCATTTATACAAGCATCATTTCCCTCAGAAGAAGAATATGGCTGCCACCAAAACCATAAGGAGACTTCAGAAATTCAGGAGAATCCAAATTACCAATATGTTGGCAGTAAATTTCGTTGGTTAATTGACAGTAAATATGTTGCATAAAAATTATCAATTTGGTGCTGTGTAGTTTGTTCTCAAAACTCAAAAGCAAAATTGTACTTACAGGCGCAACAAGGGTGATTGATTTTACACACTCGGGGTACTTTGCTGCCAAGGCCAATGCAATTATGCAACCCATAGAGTGTGCAACCAAATGAAAACTACTTAACTGCAAAGGATGAACCACAGATTTCTCTATCATTTCCACATGATCCTTCAAAGTATACAAGCAATCTCTTGGCTTTGGACTCTTGCCAAATCCCAGCAGGTCAATGGCAATTAATCTGTACTCATGATTCACTTCATCAGGGAAATATTGAAACACTGTCTGAGTCCAAAATGAGGAAGAACATAGAAATCCATGCAAAAATATAACATTCTCAAAAGGGCTTCCACTCAAGTTCTCATCACTGGCTGTAAAACATAAATTAACAACAAAATCATTCACACACAAAATAATAATAATAATAATAATAAATAAATAAATACAATGCACAGAAACATAAAAAGGATCGCATCAGAAAACAATAGTAATCAAACTAGTAGAATTACCCTACCCATTAAGGGTTCTTTCACGACAAAATGAAGTTTATAGTCGCTTTCATCATTCACCCATGAAAGGCAAGACTCACAGCCACAATCAGACCAAGACTTCACTGACTTTTCACCATCTCTACCATATTTTCTATTGGAATCTTCCCTTTTTCTCCCAAATTGAAGGAACCCCATTTCTCTGAAAATGTTCTTCCTTTCATATAAACTATCTGATACACCATCATCATCATCGGTCACATTCATCTTCTTTTGCCTTGCTCGGTGAGAGCAGCAACAAGGTGAAGGCTCCCCTTCAATGCGTTCATCAAGGTATCTATAGATAACGCAGAAGACAGCATCAAGAAGATCAAATATGAGGAAAACAACACAACATAGAATCGAGTTGAGTAGTGCAGTACAAAAGCTCAACCATTTTGGTGATGAAACTGGTAAAGACAAGAACATGGATAGAAAACGAGAGATGGGGTTGGGGGTGGATGGAACAAGATTCTGTTTTTCACTGATAAATAAGACACTTGGTGGGGTGAAGTTGATTTATTGGATGTGCTTCGAAGGCAAACTGGGGGTGATAGAACACTCCTCAACCTTGCTTACGTCAAAAAAGTGCATGCTTGCTTAGATTAATTACAAAAATTAAAAAATATAAACTTTGTTGGAATATCTCTTGTGGTGCTTTTAGGATATATTTTGTTAAATTTTTATGCAAATTTTATAACTATTTTTTATTAAGCAATTTTTAGTTCCAATTTAAAACTCTGAAAAATTCATCAAATGAATTCTATAAGTTATTCTACATTTTCATGTGCCATCAACATTTTTTATTTTAAAAACTAGTACCAAGACCTTCACTTTTTACTGATTTTTAGTTTAAGTAATAATTGCTTAAATAAATAAAATATTTTTATTTAAAATTAAAGTTCATATATCTTCAATAATAAATTTAAATAAAGACAACTCATGTCTCTCTAATAATAAATTAAAATAAACTCATATTCATATGAAAAAGTAACTTAAATATCCTCGTTAGAGATGCTCTTAGTAGTTTAAGCATATAGGTTGTAGCCCTGGAGATTGAACAAGTGGAATTGGGTTTGCGGATTCGTAGAGATATGAAAAGGTGATTGATGTTGGGCCACGTAACCTAATAATTGAGCAGCCAATTTCTGCGGTGTCTCTTTTTGTTTGTTTTGCTGTCTCTGTTTTACGCAAGTTTTTTCTTAGTCATAATCATACAGTAATTTGCCACTGGTCAGTTGATTTAACAGGATTTTAGAAGAATGGTAAGCAACTTTGATTTTTAAACATAGTTGGTGTCATCATTACCTATTTCATTTTTTATTTTTTTAACTTTTTGCCTATTTTTCTTCTTTCATATTGCATTATTTGTCATATTTATTGCTTCTCTCATTTTTTATTTCTGTCTCTCAAAGTGAGATGTCTACCAATAGCTTTCCAGTAGTAAAATTTTGTTAGGAATTAATTTTGATCAATTTTAGCTGTAACGCAGTACATATTTAACTTTCTGTGACTTGTGGGATGCTTTCATTTCATTGGTGCAACATTTTAAAGTACATAATAAAATTTCTTACGAAAATTGCCTTTCCTCTCGAAAAATATTCCGATTCTGATTACATGACACTCAATAACCATTGTCTCACTTTGCTTATTTTGAGAAAATGAAGGGAGCTTTTTTGTTTTCTTCTAGCTGCATCCTTAACTCAGTATATCTTCATAAAGAAATTAAAAAAAAACTAAATGTGCTTAATTTTTTTTTATAATTAGCAATTTATTAATTTTATTAATTTTTATGTAATTACCTTTAACCCCGTGTGTTTTAAGGAACCAACACTTACTCAATTTATATACCAAGTAGAAGAATTTATAATGATAATAAAATGCGGAAATATTATCTATTGAATACCTACACAAGTTACTCCCTAAAAGTAACACTGTTTACTTTTGATCTCTGGAAGCTTCGCTTTCTATAATTTGGTCCATAAATGTAGTTAACTTGCTCAAAATTTTGTCTTTCTGGGAACTAATTAACCCCCAAAAATATCTGCGTATAATATGATCCCCAAAAATGTTAGTATTACTTACATTTAACTCCCACTTTGCTTTAATTTTTGTGAGAAAAGAGATTCAAAGACTAAATTGTACAAAATAAACTCTTAACAGAGAAAAAATAAACATGATGTCACTTTGAAGGATCAAATTATATATTTACTCATTAATTATTGGATGCTCGATAGTCGATATCTGTATTAAAAAATCACACCTAGTTTAATCCTAAAAACCAAAGTTTTAATTATATTTCCACATTCTTGATAGAAAGACCTGACTACGAAAATATGGTCTTAAAGCATCATTTATTTCTGAAATTTGACAAGCTAGTCCCTCAACATGATACAAGGAAAGGTCCCCTCAACAAAGCTAAATACTTGATGTCAAAATTCACTTACAGGTGAAAACAGAAAGGTTTGAGTAGTAACGTTTTCCATCATCTTCACTTTCCTTTTATATATTTCCCAGCAAAATTTTAACATCACATTGAAAAATGAAACAAATGGATAGATAATAAACTAATACTGCTAATACTCTTCAGCTACCTTCATTTTCTGTTTTAATCGGATCTGAGTTCACAGTTGGAAGATTTCGTCGGTACTGCTGAGATGTCAATCTCCTTTCCAATGGTGTTTTCCTCTTGCTTACAACAAATCTGTTCACCCCTTTGCGCATAGGCATTATTGAAGGAAAATCCTCATCTGGAATCTGACTGAGCTCAGAAATATCCTTAATCTGTGCCACTCGACGGAACCACCTCTCTGCCTTTGCCTCCTCTGACATGTCCAGGGGATCTGGTTCCTTCACGGCAGACCCCTCCAAACTCTTTCCTGTCCACTCTGATCTAACACTCTGATTCTCAGATGCTGGGCCCGGGGATGCACTCCCTGTTGTCAAACTTGGAACAGGATCTTGATTGAAACTCTGCCTTGAATTTCCACTGGGTGTTGCCCCATAAAGAGAACCAACATGATTGTTATTTGAGCTCTGTTCAGAAGGTTTTGGACTATGATCTTGATTGAAACTCTGCCTTGAATTTCCACTGGGTGTTGCCCCATAAATAGAACCAAAATGATTGTTATTTGAGCTCTGTTCAGAAGGTTTTGGACTATGTCCAGGTCTAGCTCCATCATCTAACATCTCCGCAGGCTTCTTGGCCACCTCAGATATGGAAGATGAATCATCATTGGACCTATCTCTTGAATCTGTTCCACCTGCCTGTTGCTTGTCCTTTTTGGCAAAGTAATCTGGGGGGAAGGGGACGAAGGGGACAAAATTGGTATTGCCAGATTGCTCCATGGCCAATCGTCGTTTGTATGCTGGTGTTGTCAAAGAACGATCTTTTTTCTTGCTAACAACAAATCGATTTTCTCCTTTACGCATGGGCATTATGTCAGGGAAATCCTCATCAGATACAGCACTTGTTAAATCTGGAACATCATGCAGCTCGGCAACCTTTCTAAACCATCTCTCAGATTTTTCAGCTTCCTCTTTCTCCTTATCTTTGACGATATCTTGGTTTGTAGAATTATTGTTAGAAAGCTGTGTACTGCCTCCCAAACTAGTATATCCAACATCAGTGTCTAATACCACCTTTTTGCTCTCCTCTCCCTGCAAGTTCTCAGACTTTTGGGCAAACGTGTCTACAGACAATGGAACAGGAATAACAGTACCAGTGCTGCTCCCTCTCACATCTTTAAAAAGTGAAGTATTGCTAGCAGATGAAGGCAGGCTGTCTCCACTAGCCTTTTGTTCGGCAACAATGTTCTTATTGTCAGATTGAGGAATGCCAGCTGAATGACCTAGAATGTCGTCCAGTGTGTCATGGGAGTTAATTGAATCCCCGGCTTCAGAATCCTCAATGCCGGAAGTGCCATTATTGGCCAAGTTTTTCTTGTATTGAGCATTAGCCAACCTCCTCTCTAATGGAGTTTTCCTTGTGCTCACAACAAATCTATTCACTCCTTTCCTCAATGGCATTATTTCAGGAAAATCTTCATCTGCTATCACACTATTAATATCAGCACTGCTGTCTAGTTGAGAAACCTTGCTAAACCAACGCTGTGCCTTCTCTTCATTAGTAGCTAACCTAGCATCAACATCAGAATTGTTTCCATTTTTGTACCCCACATGTGACATGGTATTGGTGGCATCCACAGATATTTGTCCAGGTCGCTTGCAATCACACCTTAAACAGGTCATATTTCTCCCGTAGTTATAGAAATCACACCTTCAAAAGGAAAATCCTGTTAATTGGATGTCTATATCAAAATTTAGGGGGGAAGACATTTTAAAGGGAGGAAATTACTTACTGAGGACATTCCCATTCACCTCCAGCCAGTTGTCTTTTTGGCCTTGCTTCCTCACACTCAAGACATTTGACGTTTCTTGCAAAATTCATGAAATTACACCTGCTCAGTATTAGAGAGTATGCAGACTTATCAGAATAATACTTGAACAAACAAAACTAACTACAAGTCTACGTCAATTGCTCCACACTCACACTACGGTGTTCCAGCATTACACAAAGTAATATAATTCATCAACATTCAATTTAAACTAAAAATAATAACAAAGTACCTAGGGCAAATCCAATCACCCCTTTTCATTTCAATTTTTTGACCAGGAGGCTTTGCCTGTCCAAATGTACCAGTCGTTTGAGTTTGCACTGAATCAAAAGAGTTAGGTCCAGGTGCACTATAACTGAGCTTGAAAAGTTCAGCAAATAGATTTCTGACAGATGATTCCACAAGATCTGTGTTACAGAGCGTGTTCCTTTCTGAAGAGACAAATGGGATACTTGCATAACTCAGCATAAACTTCATTAGATCAACAGTATTTGCTCTATCAGTGTCTATCACCTATGAAGAACATATCAAACACAACTAGATCAACAACAGTTTCAATGTACTTGTCAAAATTTGAAATTAAGCGTTAAGACATGAAACAACATATCATAACGCCATACTTCAAGTTACACAGAACCAATGAAGCAAACAACTTTCTGGAAAAAATATTTAATGCAGGCTTTGTGATGCGCATGCATGGAATATACAAACAACTTCACGAGGACATTAAGCAACATTAGGCTTGGATACATACTTATGGCTTACTTTCACAGCACATTAAGGATACATTGGAATAACTGCTTATTGAATAAGCTCTTTCTAAAACGATGACTTGTGTCATAAATTTAATGATGAAACTTATTAGGATAAGCTGAAAACAACTTATTTTCATAAACTATACCAAGCTTAAGAGAATCATAAGCTATTTTCCATAAACTGTTTATAAGTTCTTCCAAACAGGCCCTAAGTAAAACACAAAGCGTTAAAACCTTGCATCGTGATTTTTAGAACCACCACAGAAATGGTGAGTACGATTGTGAACAACAAAGAGGAACTTGGATTTTGAACGATGCAAAACAGAATAACTAAGTAGTTAGTTAGCATAGCATAGCATACTAACATTAGCGTTGCAATTGGATAGAAAGGACTTCATCTTCCTCACGGAATCCTCGGCATCTCGGAAGAGAAACGGAGAGCAATGCTCAACCACCAAAGCAATGTCTCTCGTCGAAAGCAACCTACAAACCATTCAATTCCTTTCAGATTCAAGAAAATTGAAGCACGTGATTGAAGTTGGAAAATGAAACGAACCTTAGGAGGTTAGGTCGGTCCCGTGCGAAGGCCAAGCAGGCGGTGGCGTCGCGGAGGAACGGTTGGGGCAATTCGGCGGCGAAGGAGTGGTCGGAGAACGAAGGGAGGTAACCGGCGGAGGAGACGTGAGAGAGGAATCGAGACCACTCGGGCAAGAGAGAGGTGTGAGATTGGGTGTGAAGGTGTTGGTGTTGTTGTTGAGAGGCTTTGATTTTGAGTGTGAGAGGTGAGGAAGAGAAAGGAGAAGAAGAGAAGTAGCGGTGGGAAAGGGATGAGGAAGAGAGGAAGAGGAGTTTGTGGTGGCGGTGGCGGTGGCTGTGGCGGAGAAGAGGGAGCGGTGTGGAGAGGAGGAAGAGGAAGCGTGGGGCGGCGCCACCCATTTTTGTTGGCAGCGTCAAATGTAATTTCATTTTACATACTGATTACTGACTTAGGCTCAGATGAGATGAACCCCATCACACCCTGTTCCAAACATTCAGATATTTCACAATAGATAAGATGGTATTTTATTTTTAAAATAAAATTATGGACACGTTCTTTAACATATTTTTATATTAATTATTAATTAAAATTTATTAAAAATCATGTATATATATATATATATATATTTTATAATTCTAATTTAATAATTTTTTAAATGTTTTATTAACTTTTAATAAATTTTCATTAGTAATATAAATATATTAAAAAAATTATGTTGTTAGCATTTTTATTTTAATAGAATTTTTAACTTCTTTCTCATGCACCAAATATGAGCTTTAAAATTGAATTGAATTATCTTTAAATTATCAAATTATTCTAAAAATTTTAATAATAAAAAATATATTTATATTGTAATTTAATTTATTTTTTAGTTTTTATTAAGATAAAATTTACTTAACTCTGTAAGAGAATTTAGTATTTTTTTTATACGTAAAAAATTATTTTCCTAATTTTATATTAATAATAATAAAGTTAATAGTTTAATTGAGAAAGACTAAAATCAAGTTATTAACATTTTGATATTAATATTAATTTTATATTAATAAATAGTAAAATTAATAATTTAATTATACGTGTTTTGAGCATTTTATTAGATTTTGCGGTAAAAATATCAGAAATTAACGAACTAAAAAAGTGAATGACGTAGAAGAAAAAACGTGACCAAATGAAGGAAAAGAACGATCTATTTAGAAATTTTTTGTTAATTAAATCAATATTTTCATATTTTTAAATATATTTTATGGATAAAACAAATGTTCTGTGTGTTAAACGGGTTTAACAAGTCATAAACATGACAACAAGAAATTTTCAGTAAAAATTTTACTTGTAAAATAAAACATGTAACTGTAAATGTCGTTTTGAGGACTAATTTATTTATTTTAAATAAAAAAAACTTAAAAACAAAACTAGGATTATTTTTTTATACACAGTATTTAAAAAATAATATGCACTAAAATAAATTTTTTTAAAATTATAAAAATATGAAACACAAAAATTATCAATGATGTAATTATAGAAATTTAAAGATGAAACAACTAAAAATTATAAATTTTAAAAAGTCAAAATTAGTTAATAATGATTTATTAAAAAATATCTTTTTACAAAATAAAAAAATTGCCAATGAAATCTTTTAAAAAATAAAATTAAAACACGAAAGTGAACATTATCATTGACAATTTTTAAAAATTTCATATTTCCTTAATCCCATATTTTAGTTTTTTTAATATTTTTCCCATATGAAAAAAAAATATTATAATTAAAATGATACTCTCATCTTTATATATATTAAATACCTTTTAGAAGACTTGAATAATACTTTTAATAAAGCACTCTATAATTTCTGTAAATCATTTATTTTTCTCAATTACCCTAAATAAATAAAATTAGAAAGAAAAAGAACCTAATAAATGTTAATAATAAATTTAAGTTCAGTAATATTAATTAAACATAATTTATCAAGTTATAATATTTTAAAAAAATAATTTTAACTAGTTTTATCAGTTTATGTACTTCACTTAAATACAAATATATCTTATATAAAAGTCCTGAGAAAATAGTTATCTTGCTATAATTATTAAGAAATAACAAGTTGACGAGCTAAAATCAAACCTTTTGCATTTTCCTTCTGACCTTTATAAAACACGCCTTTTATCCTTCTAATCCTCGAATTGGATGCCAATACGCTAGTAATAACTTACCACAATACTCATTGCAATTGCAATCCTTAAAAGAAATAAATTAATGCCAACATATATATGCACATTAACATAGAGCTGATTATTTAGAAGATACAAATCACTTCATGATTGAAAAAGAAGTGGTCAAATTGATACAGTAAAATAAATCCTCATCACAAATTATTTGCCTTCCAAATAAAAAATCAAGATTAGGCTGCACCCACTTAATAGCTCAGGAAAGAACAATGGGTTTGCCACACAATTGCTCTAACTCATCTTCCAAAATTTTATACAGGTTTGCCTTGTTCCGCCTATAAATCCAAGCTTTAGTATCCTGATCCCAATCAAACCTTGATGGACCACTGCATAAGAGATGGAGTCATTAGGACTAGACTTATAAGAGATCATACCAACGTGTCATCTTGATCACTCATTATATATTGGCCCAGGTGCAATAAGTAGATTGAGTAGACAAACAGAAGAAATGGATTTCAATAAATAGAACTGTACTTAAAGACTTGGAATCACACAAAGGGCCCTAAAATATCATAGCAACATTCATCATAACACTTAAGGCGTAATGTGTTCAGTACTTATTGAAATGATGATAGAAAAAGTAGCAGGGAGGGGAGATGCCCTATGTTGTTGTACTGACTGCCTATATTGGTCTGAATATATTCTTGATAAATACAATTATACTATCTCCAACAAGGACTATATTTATATCCAAATAGAATTGGAAATCATAAACAATGATACTCCTCCCTGATCTCAGTTTACAAAAGGATAGCAAGTTGATAAGAAACTAGTATCTTTAATGGAAATAGTGGGGAAGGACTCCCCAATTTACAAAATAGAGCACATAAACCCGACTACAAAACTTCAAGGGTCTGTATCTCCCAATGCTCAAAGGTTTCAATTCTCTCACGAATGACAAGTTGTCTCTCTCTTAACCTCTAATAGACACCCAATAACACCAGAATCAACAAACAACGTAGAATTAAGAATTGTAAATGTGAATAAAATGATGGGTGCTATATTTAGTGAATATGCAAAGAAAGGAAACTCAGAGAAGGGAGAATTCTCCTCTGCCAAGAGCTAAGCTCCTACACAAAAGCAATAACCGTAAATTATAACAATATCCCCTCCCATAAATCACTGAATCTATATATCACTGCATCTTCTCTCTCCCTTAACCGCAAGCCTCGTCAGCATTTTTCTTCTTCCGACGTTCATACACAATCCACTGTTTTGGACCTCCTTTTCCTTCATGGGCCAGTGGTTCTATTGACCCATGGTGAACTTGGGCCTTATCAACCTCCCTCGTTATTTAAAAGCAACATGCCCTATTTCTTAAACCAACCAACTTGACTATCTATGTGACTAACTAACTAACTAAATGAACCCTGACAAAAAAATACTGCATTTATTCTCCCACTACAATATAACAATTTAAACAAAGAATTGAAACTAATAGGAGAGTTAAATGAAGTTCCTCCAATCAGATAAGACAACTCAATATGCAAAAGGCCTCAATTACAGAATTGTCTCAATAAATGCACCATTATTAATACTTAAGATGCATATTCGAATAAACGATAATGTTTGTAACACCAATTAGGTTATCACTAAATATTCACTTTTCTCCAGTTCTTTCTCTTGCATTAAGATAACAAAGAAGCATATGTATCTGCCTGTGACAAATCTTATTCACATGAAATCTAACGGCAGATAATTCTCGAGCAAAATCTACCTCATTGGGGAAGACAGCCAAAGTTGTCTATTTGGTGTTTGTTTGTTCAATACATAGGTTCCAAGATCGCCAAATTTTACAGTCAAAACATCATTCTGAAATGCAAACCCATGTCAAAACAATTAATACACCTGCAAGGAAGCTTCAAACAAATATGAAGTTCTTAAAAATCATTAAAATTGAAGAAGGACAAAACCAAAAAAGAAATTTCTGTTTTTTAATAAAATAATTACTGAGTTTCTTTTAAACAAAGATGGTTATCAAGTTAAAAATGTAATTATTGAAAAAAATAAGTTTACACAACAAGTTAACTTCATATTCTTCTAAATTAAATTAACTGCTAGGATAATTTGGTTTTAACACATAATTGTTATGAATTCTTTACAACCTATTCTCACAAAAAATCATTCTCACCCCATAATCTATGTCAAATCCATCAACTTCAACTGAGTCTCCGTAGTCCTGCCAAACAACAAACAAAACTAATAACACCCAACATTGTTTAAACTTAAAATAATATAAAATGAAGGATTGTGATTGTCAACTTTCCACCACAGCTAAGACTGCACATTTGTCAAACAATGTGGGTCGTCACTAAATCATGGGCAAAATTTGTGTGTATGTCATCTTTGATTGCCATATTACAAATTTAAGTTGGTGCAAAACACAAAGCAGTACTAGAGATACCTCTAATTTCTCTTGCAGGTTATGTATTGTAGAATCAGCCAGTTTGTGGAATTCACCCTCCTGTAGTAGAGAACTGCATTCGGATTAATGGTTAGCAACATCATTTTTACTCACTTAAAACAAAAACAGAACAAAACGTTCCAACCAAATTTGAAATCATACAACCTTTGAGCAATTAGCACGTGATCTGACATTTGGATTCTTAGAAATGTTGTTTCAACAATCACAAATCCCACTGTCAAACCCCCAACATAGCTTCAGAGATGCTTTGAATCTCAAATTTTAAATTTTTTAAAAGAAAACAATAATTGAAATTTAAAAGCTATTTTTTTATTACCAAAAACAATGGTATTAAAGATCAAATTTTTGTGATTTCCAGGAATCAAATAAGAACATAATTGATGAGAAATAAGAAACAGCAAGTCATACCGGTAATCAATAGTCATGGGGCCTTGAGATTCATCAGGAAGATTTGAACTGTGAGAGCAAAAGTTTCTAGAAGAAGAGGAGAGAGGCGGAAGACAGGCATTCCCCCTGAGGAGAGACACAAATGGTGAAGCTTTTATAGTACGGAATGGAGCCATATAGATGGAGGAAGTTGGTGACTGTAGCAAAAATCTGAGGAGCCTTCTCTGCAAAACCAGCTTGGTGGCCATAGCTTTTGACACCTTGGCAGCAAATGTGAAAAATAAAACTGATGAGTAGTCATAATAAATTACACACTAACAAAGGTATTGATGCGTCAAAAAGAATAGATGAAAAACAGAACCAAGGTAACACTGTAAATGAAGAAATGAATTAGGCATGACAACAAGGTCAGTTTTGGCCTCCCTGCCCCAACCCAGCTTCTCCAAAACCACCTGAACCTGCCTAGGGGTGTGCATGGATAGTTTTGGCATAAAAGAAAGCTAAATTCATTTATGAATCAATTATATACACTGGATTTCAAGACCAATCCCCTTCTTTTTTTCTCAAAATTGGTATGGTTTTGACCAACTGATTCAGAACTAGTTTTAAATTTGGTTTTGGCTTAAATTCGTTTTAAATATGGCTTCTTAGACAAATCCAGTTTTTGAACCAAATCCAGTTTTATGGGTCAGGATAGCTTCTTTCTATGTTCAATAATGGATCCAAATTCCAATTAAAACAGAAAACATAAATCCACGAGAAACAATTGAACTTTAAGAAGCAGTTAGCAGAAAAAGGTAACTAGAATGCATAAAGATAGCGTTTACATCATTTTAGACGAGGTGGCTACGAAGGTTAGGAGAATTGCCAAGACAATTTTGGGTGAATATAGAGGCTTATAGCTTACTTTCACAGCACATTAATGATACAGTGGAATAACTTCTTATTGAATAAGCTCTTTCTAAAACGATGACTTATGTCATAAATTTAATGATGAAACTTATTAGGATAAGCTGAAAACAACTTAGTTTCATAAACTATACCAAGCTTAAGAAAATCATAAGCTATTTTCCATAAGCTGTTTATAAGTTCTTCCAAACAGGCGCTAAGTAAAACACAAAGCGTTAAAACCTTGCATTGTGATTTTTAAAACCACAACAGAAATGGTGAATACGATTGTGGGCAACAAAGAGGAACTTGGATTTTGAACGATGCAAAACAGAATAACTAAGCAGTTAGTTAGCATAGCATAGCATACTAATTAGCGTTGCAAATGGATAGAAAGGACTTCATCTTCCTCACGGAATCCTCGGCATCTCGGAAGAGAAACGGAGAGCAATGCTCAACCACCAAAGCAATGTCTCTCGTCGAAAGCAACCTACAAACCCCTCAATTCCATTCAGAGTCAAGAAAATTGAAGCACGTGGTTGAAGTTGGAAAACGAAACGAACCTTAGGATGTTAGGCGGTCCCGTGAGACGGCCAAGCAGGCGGTGGCTCGCGGAGGAACGGTTGGGGCAATTCAGCGGCGAAGGAGTGGCCGGTGAACGAAGGGGGATACCCGGCGCAGGAGACGTGAGTGAGGAATCGACCACTCGGGCCAGAGAGAGGAGTGAGATTGGGTGTGAAGGTGTTGGTTTCGTTGTTGAGAGACTTCGATTTTAGGTGTGAGAGGCGAGGAAGAGAAAGGAGAAGAGAAGTAGCGGTGGGAAGGGATGAGGAACAGGGATGGAAACTGGCACCCTACTCTCTTCAATAAATAAATAAGGCTCAGACATATTTTTTAAGGTCTGTTTAGGGTTGAAGTATACAAAGCAGCCTCAATTGTTTACAAAGCTGATAAGTTTAATACGCTAACTTATATATATATATAATTTAAAAATAGATTTGTTAAAATATATTTAAATAATATATTTTTTATATTTTTAATTCTATTATTATTAAAATAATATATTATATTATAATTTTTTTATTTATAATTATAATAAATAAAAATTATATTTTATTTAAAATAAAAATATTTATATATGATTATACTTTTTAAATAATAAATTATTATATTTATTATATTTAAATAAGCTAAAAAATTGTTAAGTTTTTAAATAAGAATAAAATACAATTAAAATTAAATAATAATATTATATTAATATAATTTTTATATTTTAATTTTATTATTATTAATATTTAATTATTTAATTATTGTATTAATATATTATGTTTAATTATTTTTATTTATAATAAATAAAAGTTGTTTAAATATAAATTATATTTTATTCGAAACTAAAAGTTTATAAAAAAATAATAAAAAATAAAATAAAATAAAAAATTTAATAATCTATATATATATAAATAAACTATATAGTATATAATATAAATAATATAATTTTAAATAAATTATAATAATAATATATATTTTTGTAACTTATTTTGTGTTTTATTTTTATTACTATAAATTTTTTGAGTAAAGTTTTATGTTTTATAATTTTATTAATATTGGTTAGATTCATGCCCAATAATTTTATTACAGGTTTATTTAGAGTGAAGTCTAGTTTGACTTTATCTATTTCTATTACTGATAAAAAATAGCGAAAGAAGAGTTTTTTTTTAATATTTTATTAATTTTATAAATTTAAATAAACAATATAAATATATTAAAAAATGTGTTATTAGCATATTATTTATAATATAATTTTTAGCTTCTTTCTTATGTAATAAATATGACTTTAAAATTAAATTAAATTTTTTTAAATTGTCAAATTATTCTAAAAAATTAGTAATAAAAATATATTTATATTATAATTTTATTTTTAAAATTTTTTATTAAAATAAAATTTATAGTAATTTTTTAATTAAAAAATTTAAATTTTTTACATATATCAACTATTACAGTTAATTTTATATTAATAGATACTGAAATCAATAATTTAATTAAAAATAATTATAATAAAATTATTAATATTTTAATATTAATTATTAATTTTATATTTATAAACAGTAGAGTGAATAGTTTAGTTATACTTGTTGACATTTTGATAAGTTTTGCGGTATAAACATCTAAAATTAATAAATTAAAAAACTCGATGACGTTAGAAAAAAAAAAGACCAAAAGGAAGAAAAGAATGGTCCATTTGAAATTTTTTAGTTAATTAAATCAATATTTTTTGTACTTTTAAATATATTTTATAGATAAAACATATGTTCTATGTGTCAAACAGGTTTAACAAGTCATAAATAAGATAACAGTAAATTTTTAGCAAAACTTTCACTTGTAAAATAAAACATGTAAGTGTAAACGAAGTCTTCAGAATTTATTTATTTATTTATTTTAAATAGAACAAACTTAAAAACAAAAATAGGATTTTTTTTTATACACAGTATTTAAAAAATAATACATATAAATAATTTTTTTTAAAAATTATAAAAATATGAAACACAAAAATTGTCATGTAGTTATAGAAATTTAAAGATGAAACAACTAACAATTATAAATTTTAAAAAGTCAAAGATAGTTAATGATAATTTATTAAAAATATCATTTTAAAAAATAAAAAAATTGTCAATGAAATCTTTTGAAAAAAAATTAAAACCACAAAGTGAAAAATATCATTGACAATTTTCAAAAATTTTCATATTTCTGTATTTTGTTTTCAAAATCCCATATTTTAGTTTTTTAATTTTTTTTCCCATAATAAAAAAACACCTACAAAAATAATATAATTAAAATGATACTCTTATCTTTATATATATAAAATACCTTTTAGATGACTTGAATAATTCTTGTAATAAAGCACTTTATAATTTCTGTAAAACATTTATTTTTCTCATTTACCCTAAATAAATAAAATTAGAAAGAAAAAGAACCTAATAAATGTTAATAATAAATTTAAGTTCAATAATATTAATTAATTAAAGATAAGTTTATCGAGTTATAATATTTTTTTAACAAATTTAACTTTAACTACTTTTATTAGTTTATGTACTTTAATTAAATATAAATATATCTTACAAAAAGGTCCTGAAAAAATAGTTATCTTGTTATAATTATTCAGAAATTACAAGTGTGAAACATTCTCAGCGCATCATTAAAGTTAACAAGGACTAAAATTAAACCTTTTGCATTTTCCTTCTAACTTTTATAAAACACGCCTTTTATCCTTCTAATCCTCGAATTGGATGCCAATACGCTAGGAATAACTTACCACAATGTCAAATATTTAAATACACTCTTGAATCACAAAAAAAATATATTACTTATTAAGCAGTTTGAAGACAACCTTGATCAACTTACCTATGATAATGTAACAACAATAAAGTCATTCACCAAATCTTAGACATTGTGAATAAATCATATTTCAAGGGCAACTCCTAACACAAATGAATTAGAACACATAATTGGCAGTGACATTACATAACATCTTATTTTGTGGACAAAAAACACAAGTAAGCTTTGTGGACGGAAGAAATATGCTTTGGCAATCCCATTTCTATTAATGTGAGAATTTTCAGACTAATATAAGGCTTAGTATTCCTGGCATACAGTAGACTAAGATGATGTCAAGCTGATATACATTTCTAAAGCATACAATTCTTTGAAGACAATTTAGAGTCCAAAATAGCCAACCAATTCACATATGCCAACCAAAAACTAAAATTCAATCAAATAGAAGTATGTGTTGCTTCCACGGGTTTGCAATACAAAAAATTCCTAATTTCACATTATAACATAAATAAACGCTAAGGTACTCATAAAGTAATGAAAATATTCAGCTTGATTTCTATGCATAATAAGGGAATTCGTGGTTTAATTCCACACACTTGTGTTCATCTATTTACTTGGTTATAAAAAAGTTGTCATGATATAAATTTCAATTTTTTGACAGTTCAAGTTAGAAGCAATAAGATTGGTTAACTTGGCTAGCTTGGCTTTTCATTGTCAAAGATGCAACCAAATTTTTATATAAAGTCCAAAAGTAAGAAATAATATAATCCAAAATATTCATAACAAATAAGAAGATTACATCGAAAAAAAAGTCTATTAGACAATACAAATTAATAGTCTAATATAATGTCAATAGGGCATGAAATACAATCATCTAATGATTTATATCTATTCTTTAATCTTCTTCAAGTGTTCAAATGACCTTGTGATCACATTGTTACATATTACGTTGTAAGGCTTTAAAGTCAACTTTAAGGCAATCTATAATCTTGTTCCATCGTTAACTTCTAAACAAAAACTCTTTTCAATAATTGTTTACTATTAGATTACAATTGCAAAATATCATAAAAAAAATTAATCTTACATGTATTCTATATTCATTCACATCCATTTACATCATCCAACTTGTTACTCAAACAACACAATTATTCCTACATTTATTGACGTATAAGATTAAGTTTTACTTTTTAGTAAAAAACTAGGAATAGTTGATGATACAAAAGATTTGTCGCTAATCCTCATTAAAATTTAAACATAAATTAATGCAATACTAGGGTGCTAACCTAAGTCATCTTCTTGTGAATCATTGGTTGTATGACTAAATATCAAACATGTTATGAATAACTCAGAAAGCAAATGAAAAAGAGGGGAGGTTTATGATTTCAAATTCAATCTACTTAAACAGGAAATTTAATTTCAAAGTCTAATCAATGGAATAAGTTAACCCCTAACTTGTCCATATTGATTGTATTCTAATTCCTTTTAGGATTTAATACTCTATCCCTTTCCCTGAATTAGGTTAATCAAACAAACAAAAACTAACCCTAAATTCTCATACAAAATTAAGCAAATCAATGGGCTCCAATCTCTAATCCTTAGGATTAAGCAAACCTTAGAATTACGCAAATCAAGTTCAGAACCCTTGTTAAAAATAAACTAGAGTTTGATTAAGAAATGCCCTCTAATCAATTCTTAACTTAGTTCAAGAGCTTGAGGAAAGAAAGAATTCATGAAAAAAGATTTGTATTAACATTAAACCTAGGAATTCAAAAGTTCATATGAACTTCACTAAGGGATTAACAAGAAAATTTAGCCCTCCATGAAGATGGGTTTCACCATTACAAGCATTCAATACTTAGAAAAATAGAAAAACAAAGTAAAAAGGGAAGAAAAAATGAAAACCCTAAAGTGGAGTTCTTGGGCAGCTGCCTAAAACTCCTATCCTAATCCTATGAAAGTGGGAAAATAGAAAATTACAAGAAATGGTAAAAAGGTCCTACCCTAAATGGTAAAAATCCTATTTATAGTAAAGTTGACGCCTTCATAGTAGTTACTATCATTCAGGATAGTGTTTATGCACAGCTCCATGCAATTCTTTCTCTTTGTAGTGATTGCTATTGTGCATGAAAGTAGTTTCTTTTAGTGCACGTAACCACTATTGTCTGCAATAGTAAACACGCGCAACATGTTTCACTGTAGGGCTCTTTGTAGTGTTTACTATCATTCACGATAGTAAGCACGTGCAAGTTTGCACCTCTCCTTGGCTCTGTAGTGATCACTATTGCTTTTGAAAGTAATTACTTTGGTATGTTCCTTAAAATTGGCTTGCTGTAGTGATTACTATCGTGTATGAAAGTAGTTACTTTTACCTCATATTTTCTAAAGAGCTAAAAATCTATGAAATCTGTCTGGAATTTTCTACAAAATTATTCAAATTATCAAAATTGCAAAATATATTTACAGAAATTAGTGTAAATTGAACAAAAATTAAGAAAGCTATGATAATTGAGATTTTTATACAATTTACAATTTCTAAGTCCATTTTTCTATTAAAAATCTATAAAAAGATAAACAAAATATCTATCAAATGTGGATTCATCAATAGTCAATGGG